ATTCCACAAAAGCCAGCAACAGCAGATGGGGTCTTCCAAAGACAGAAAGTTTCCAGAAGGGTGCAAAACAGGGGCATTAATTTATTAATTTATGATCCAAAATCACTTAAGGAAAAGCAAGCTATAAGTCCCACTCTACTTTAAAGGAAGGCCAGCATTCCACAACACAGGCAACAGGGATTTATCTCAAACTATGAGTCCACTGACTGCTTTCTAACCAGTGCCAGAAAGAAGGGACACCGACATATCTACCATTCTGGAAACATCTTTATTTTCCCGAATTACAACTGACTGACTTGAAAAGATACCGCTTTCAGTGACTTAGTGAAATTCCTCAGGTTATCTCAGAAGTTACAGCAGGAAGCAGCATTCCTAAACAGTAGACCTGCTGTAGGTGTCTGATGAAGACTCTTTTGTCCATGATGTGCCCGTTTCATTTGCTTTGGAAATTCCCAGGCTAAGTCACCCTAGCCTTGCTATATGAGGCAGAACAGCAGTGAGTCTGCCAGCCACTGCTCTAGTGCTGGGATACATCTGAAGAAACATCTCAGGAGAAATTGGCCACTGCTTTGGCCTGTCTTGGATTGCGGCTGCAATCATCTCTGGGGTGGCAGGTATCTCAAAAGGCACCTCCTTTTTGTAGAAAGATGTTAACCTATGTGATGGTTAATTTTATGAGTCAACTTGACTGCAACAGAGTACCCAAAGTAAACATTATGTCTTGGTGTGTCTGTGAGGGTATCTCTGGATGAGATGAGCATTTGAATGAGTGGACTCAGTAAAGCAGATGGCCCTCCCCAGCGTGGGTGGGCACCATCCATTCTTTGGAAGAACAGAACAGAAAAGCAGGGGAAGAAGAATTTTCCCCTTTTGCTTCCTCCCTGCCTGCTTGAATTGGAACAATGGTCTTCTCCTGGACTTGAACTGGAATTACACCCCTGGCTTCCTGGGTCTCCAGCTCACAGAAGGCAGATCAGGAGAAATCTCAGATTCCAGAGTCAAGAGAGCCAATTCCTTGTACTAAGTCTTTTCCTTCCATATAGAAAAGGACTTACTATATATGGAAGGAAAACGCTTCTTATGGATGGAAGTGCTTCCGTGTATAAGGAAAGACTCATTAAGGAAAATACTATATATATATCAATAAACATAATATATATACTTACATATAAAATAAGTATTTTCCTTAATACATTTTATATTTTAAAAATATTTTCTTTAATAAGTGCTATATAATTATGTATAAAATATATTTATAATTCTATTTATACATATTTATATAACACTTTATTATTATATGTTTTATATATATGAAAATACATAAAATTTTACATACACATACACACAAACACACCGCTTCTCTCACATAAGCCTGGACTTAACTAGCAACACAGGCATTTGTCAGAGAGCACTGTATAAACTGCATATCTCTCAAAATTTTCTGAAACGTAGATGAGAGAAACAATATTTAGGGAAGTTTCCTTGGAAAAAATAGTTACTAAATTTATTCACTTAGCAGATACGTTTCAAGCGCCCCAGGATGGAGATGGATTAACAGAGAGCAGGGGACTCTGCCACATTCTCTTGCCCACCTCACCCTTCTCTCCGCCTTCTCCTCCTCAGACTGCTTCCTCACAGCCATCATTATGTGAAACAGGCCTGTGAAACTCACTTGTGTACCCTCAATAAGACTGCGGTGGGGAACACTGTTCATTACATCACAGTGTTTTCTTTACAGGGACTCGTGGGAACAATTCCTGTCTGGCTTCTGTGTGAACAACAGTTAGAATTTTCCTGAGCAATTGTTTTTTGTTTATCTCACAGACATTGTGAACTGTGTATCTGACAAGTTTTCTTTATTCCGCTGGTGGCTACAATGCTGCAGGCTCCGTCTGTGAACCAGCAGTTAGTAAAAGCTGAGCAGGAATGCGGTTTCCACATTATCAGCTCTGTGTACTTTCTCCTTCTCTCTGGTGTCACCTCACTTTTAATTTATAATATCTTGTCATGTTTTATGTCTCACTGTAAGCCACCTGAAAGACGTTTTGTGAAATAAGATTTGGTTTACATTGAAAAGCAGATAAGATGTGGAAGAGCTCCACGTCATGAGTTTCCATCTGTTTTCCTCCAATATTCAATTATGATGTCCTTTAGCATTCTCCCACTGACAGACCCAAGGTTCAGGATATGCAACTCAGAACTGCCGCAATAACAACCATAAAATGATTGGAAGACGCAAACAAAGTTGCTGAAAATGTGATGGTCCTGCCTCACCGTCATGACCCAGCTGAGGCAATGCCATTGAAATCACACAGCTTCTTGGCAGCCGAATGCACTGTAACACTAATTGTAATGAAAAGAGTAAATAACACTATTGAATACTGAGGTGACATGTGGAAGTTTCTTGTGCTCTCCTGTGGTCTATAAGCAACCCTGGGAAGCAGAAAGGGCAAGTATTTCACTCTCCTGTGCTGCTATTTGCACTTTGCTGTGCTTCTAAGTGGCATGGAGGAACTGTCGGCCCCTAAATGGGCTCTTTCTGCCCAAGGATTTTCTAACTGCAGAAAATGGCTTAAATCCAAGAAGAGAAGTGACAACATGAACTTCCAGCAAAGTGTGTGGAGAGACAGCCAGGCAAATGAATACATGAAAATATGTTCAGCATCATCAGTCCTCAGAGAAATGTAAATTAAAACTACAATGTGCTCCCATTACACACCTATTCAAGTGCCAAAATTAAAAAGACTGATTATATTGAGTGCTGGTGAGGATACGGAACAACTAGAACTTTCATTGACTGCATGTAGGAAGGTAAAATGGTACAACCGTTTTCTCAAACAGCTCATTGTTCTTCAAAGTTAAACATACAGCTACCAGATGACCCTGCCATTCCACTTCTAATTCATTTTCATACCCAGGAGAAATGAAAGAATATGTCTTGACAAAGACTCATACATGCTTGCTCACAGCAACTTCTTTGTAATAGCCAGAAACTGCCAACAACCCAACAGGTATCTATCAACAGGTAGATGGATAAACAAATAGTACTATATCCATTCTATGAAATATTTCTCTGCAACAAAATAATAAATATTGTTACACACAACAACATAAGTAATCCTCAGAATAATTATGTTGTAGGAAAGAACAGTACATGCTGCATGCTTCCATTTATATAAAACTCCAGAACATGCAAGCTAATACATACTGTCAGAAAGCAGATTGGTGGTTGCCTGTGACAGATGGGGATGGGGAGGTCAAAAGGAAGTGAACACACATGGGGACGGAACTTTGGATGTCATGCACACACTCAATGTCTTGATTGTGGTAATAGTTCCACATGTAAACATATCAAAACTTACCAAATTTTGAATACTTTTAACATCACATCTCAATTATACCTCAATAAAGCTATTTAGAAATAATTTTTTTGAAAGAGTTTTGCTCTTGTTGTCCAGGCTGGAGTGCAGTGATGCGATCTTGACTCACTCACTACAACCTCCACCTCCTGGGTTCAAATGATTCTTCTGCCTCAGCCTCCCAAATAGATGGGATTATAGGCACCCACTACACCCGGCTAATTTTTGTACAGAAATAATTTTTTTAATGTCAAATAACCACAGCCACATGTAGTCACTCTTGCATTGAACAGCACAGCTCCCACTTGGGTGCTGCTCCAAAAACTTGCTATTTGTGTTAGTATTAACAGAAGTATGCTAATGCTGTTATAACAAGTGATGTTTTAGTTCTGGGTGTTGCCCTCTGTCTCTAACCTCCATTCAAAGAGATCCTTTCTCATCTTCCTTGGAAGGCAGGCATCAATGAGCAGAAATAACAGTAAGACAAATTCAAGCTTAAAACACTTCCCTGATGGACTTTACTAATGGAATTATTTAACCAAAGAATAGACAGATTGCTCGTTTTAGTGAAAAATTCCCATAAAGAGTGACTCTCTAATTTTACCCAGATGTACTAGTGAATCACTGGATATCCAGTGAAGATTACATGAGACCACATACCCAGAACCTAAGATATTCTGTTTGCCTTAGCCCTAGTAATCTGCGATTAAGACAAAGTCTGGGCTGGGCGTGGTGGCTCAAGCCTGTAATCCCAGCACTTTGGGAGGCCGAGGCGGGTGGATCACAAGGTCAAGAGATTGAGACCATCCTGGTCAACATGGTGAAACCCCGTCTTTACTAAAAATACAAAAAATTAGCTGGGCATGGTGGTGCATGCCTGTAATCCCAGCTACTCGGGAGGCTGAGACAGGAGAATTGCCTGAACCCAGGAGGCAGAGGTTGCGGTGAGCCGAGATTGCGCCATTGCACTCCAGCCTGGGTAACAAGAGCGAAACTCCGTCTCAAAAAATAAATAAATAAATAAAAGACAAAGTCTGTTAGAAGGTGGTTGGAAAATGTCATAGTTACAAATTCTAGTTCTGGAACTTTTAGATTTTGGTCTCTGTTTCTGCATCTATAAAATGGTTATACCAATGCCTGCCTAAGATTCAACAAGATCACAGATGCAGGGCAACATAAAAGGAACAGAAGTACTTAAAAAATATCCCTTCCCCTTACCCACCAAACCCTTCATCACAGCACACACTTTCTTCCCTCATCAAGGGATAAGGCAGCATTGTTAGCCCAAGCTACGCTGTTTTGTAAACCCCTGTCATTTTGCAAACGCTGGTTAGAGCAGAAAATTCCACCGGGGCTCAGGTCATGAGACACATCCCGCCAGACAAGTCGAAGGCCTAACCACCTGACCCCAGGAGACTCCTCCTTATCAGCAGCTAACCACACCACCCACCCCATCTCACAACAAGCCCAGACCTATATTATTCCAGTTTGTAAGCAGGGGTGGGCTCCAGTGCTAGCTGGTGTTCCCCTCCACAGGGTTTTGTTCAATATACTTGTGTTGCCATAGAGCTGCTTCTTTCCTTTCCTTCTTTTCCCTTTCTCATCCTAACAAATACGAGCAGAGGCTTCTCTCATGCTTACCTGGAGCCAAAGCTTGTCATGCTGAGACCACTTTCCACCAGCAATGCACTGAAATGTGGCATTCTGCCCCACATTCACCTCCACATTTTGGAGTCTCAGAAAATGAGGTGCTTTTCCTAAGAGAGAAACCAAAGAACACATGAGAATGAGACTCGACAGCCCGCACCACTTCCCTACTGGTAGATGGCAGCTCAGAATGGGCACCAGGGAGAGTGGAATTGGTGCTTGAGAAGTGGTCCAGCTCAGTGAAGAGTTCATTGGTCATTCATTATGAGTCTGGCACTGTTTGAAGAACTTTACACATAGTATCTCACTGAAACCTCACAAAAATACATGAAATGGGCAGTATTTCCATTTCACAGATCAGAAAGTTAAGGCTCCGAGGGGTTACATCATCACTGGACACAGTCACACATCCAGAGGGTGAGGGAACCAGGATGTGAATTTAGAACTCTGTATCCTATTACTAGCTGTTATGCAATATTGCTCTGTGAAATTGGCACAAACATGCCTAGAATACACCCAAATCAATCACGGCTCTGGGGACTGGCATTACACAAAAGGTGAAACTGACATTGAATGTTAGAAAGAAGAAAAACTGGAGGTGGGGAGGGGTGTAGATATTCACCATAGGTGATGCTTCCCTGTAGCCTGTACAAGCAAAGAGAGAGAGCTGATGTGAAGCACCTCTGTGCCTGAGACCTGCACACTTGGCCTTGGTGATGATGCTAATGAGGAAGATGATGAGAAAGACAAAGAGTGGAGGAAGAAGGAAAAGAGAAGGAAAGCACTAGTAGCTGTCATTCTTAGCACTTGCTATGTGATCAATATGACGTACAGTGTCTCTATGCAGTAACTCACTTAACCCAATGCAGTCAGTAGTGGTATTTTCTTTACTTCACAGTGAATGAACTGAGGCAGAGAGAACGCTAGAAATGTGCCCAATGTCACAAGACCCCAGAGTCTTACTCTGTGATGTGCTTTCTGAGCATGAAGGGTGAACATTGATTCCAGGGACTGGACATAATAGGGAAAGGATCTTTCAAATGAAAATCAGAGTGTGTGTGAGCAGACAACCTTAGGATTAAGTCTATGTTTAATATTGGGTAACCTGGGTTCATCTCTTTCCGTTTTTGTGGAGAAGGGTCCTCACCCACCTGTACTCTAGAAATAATAACATTAATAACAGCTCTCCATAGGCTGATAGCTTATATCTAGAAGAATTAGTTTCTTCACTGAGGCACAGTGAAGGATCTCTATGCCATCAATCAAATCAATGATGAACTGGTATCACCCTCAGAGTGGAAAAACATGGAGAATTAGGAGAGAATCAAGAAGGTTTAGGCCATCTTTTTTTTTTTTTTTTGAGACAGCGTCTCACTCTGTCACCAGGCTGGAGTGCAGTGGCACCGTCCCAGCTCACTGCAATCTCCGCCTCCTGGGTTCAAGTGATTCTTCTGCCTTAGCCTCCCGAGTAGCTGGGAGTACAGATGTGTGCCACCACACCCAGCTAATTTTTGTATTTTTAGTAGGAATGGGATTTCACCATGTTGACCAGGATGGTCTCGATCTCTCAACCTCATGATCTGCCTGCCTCAGCCTCCCAAAGTGCCAGGATTACAGGTGTGAGCCACCATGCCCGGCTGATTTTGGCCATCTTTCTAGAGGGAGTCAAGTATGCCGAGAGACAAATAGTAACAATAATGCCATTTACTGAGAGCTCCTACAGTGCCAGGTACTATGAGAAATGCTTTGCATGTTCTATCTAATCTAACTGCATGACATTCCTATAAAGCAGACATTATTATGATTTCCCTGTTAGGCAGAAATCAAGGCTCAACAAGTTTAACATGCCCAAAGCTACATAGCACTAGTGAAAGACAGAAACAGAATTCAATCCAGGTCCACTTTAGCCCCAAACTCAGCATTTAACATGCAGCTATGCTCCCTTGCCTACTGGGCACTGGGAATAAGGATGGTGTCTCCAGACAGACTCCAGGGTCTGCAGAAGGGGCTCCCAGACAGGGCTGTGCTGATGGCTCAGGTCCCTCTCAATGCTCCCAAATACTTCATTACACATGACCCCTTTCCTTGCTATTTTTCCTTGATTTGAACTATCTTGTCTACTAATCCATGTCATCACCTGTAAAGCTCAGCAAAAGCCAAGAATCTCAAAGCAATTAGGCAGACTTATTGGGAGAACACTGGGCAGGGTGAGAAGTGGCCTGGCTCAGTGAAGAGTTCATTGATCACTTACGATGAGTCTGGCACTGTTCAAAGAACTTCACACACAGCATCTCACTGAAACCTCAAAGAATAATCCAGGAAGTGGGCAGTATCCCCACTTTCCCAATGAGCCTTTGCTCAAGTTTTAAACTAATGAAGAGCAGCTCAGAGATCCCTCACACTACCTTTGAGCCATCATGCTGGAGGGCTGTCAAGGACCCAAGGCCCAGGGAAAACCACTTCTATGGGCTTCTCAGAGTTGAAAATTCCTCCATGTAGTCAACTTGACAAATGTCATGCTGCTTTGATTGTCTGAAAATGTTTCCTTTTGGCTCTCCTGTATAATTTTGTGAAGTTATTTTTGGAACTATCAGTTCAAGTCGATTCTTGAAGTGGGAATAGAGTGAACCTTGTAAGTTCATCCATGCCACAGGTTTAAAGGGGGAGTGAACACAATCACCCCAGGTGGGGAGGAAGTGTAGAGTCTTAGCTCCAATGCCAGGAAACTGTTTGTTTTTACAAAGAAATGACCTTCCCTTACGCTTCGAGAAAATGGTTTAACCTCTGGGATGTGTACAATTAGCAATGAACCCTCCCTGTATCAATGTTCCCAGCATGCCTGCCTCTGACTCCTCTCCACCTCCTCCTTCTCAGCAATAGAACTTCTGCCTTGATTCTTTCATTTTCAATTTCTCTTCTTCTCTCCCTTCTAGGTTCAGTGGTAGAGAGTTGAGATGTTTAATGACCCTTAGTGTGAATATTCTAAGGAAACAGTGGCAATTTACAGCAGAGATACTGAACGCGTCACCTACAAGAGCCAGTTATGTAAATTAATAGTCGTTCAGCTGTAAAACAAAACAAAACAAAAAATACTACCTCCTTGGCCCATCTTTTATTTTCTCACTTTTGATAGTTAAGAAAAATAAAGATGTCTTTATATAAGAGAAGCAATGTTGCAAGCACAATAACAACTGGTATCCACCACTAGCCTTAGCACTGGGGAGACAATAAGGAGTGGTGAGGATTGGACGGAACCGGAGAGAGACACTGTGTCCCACTGAAAGTGGGCAACTACGACTTCAATTCAGCAGAGGGAGGCCAGGCATGCACGCTTTACATGGGGGTGTCAAACATTTGATTTCTCAAGGCAAGTAAGAAATCCAGACTTTATAGGCAATCTCTCACTCTAATTTCAACATGCTGTTAAAACACAATACAGACTTAACAAAACAGGCAGGCAGGGCAGGCTCTATCAATCTGTGGTCTGTTCTTATATAAGTCATCTGCAACAATTCCACTAGCCAGACTTACCCGATCCAGCCCCATAAATTCAGGGCCTCCCCTGAATTTATACGCAGAGGGCATCACACAAAGGCCAGCCCCGATGGCAGTTCCCAGCACAGAAGCTGATCTAGACCACCCTCTTTTTGCTCAGGACCCTTGTCTCTGCTCCTTGGGGCTCTGGGTCAACTTTGGCTCATGACAGACAGCGCTCTCCAGGGATTGTGCTTATGTAGGGGGCCTGTTTGGTCCTCTTCTCTGCATTCCTGGCCTCTGTGATCCCCCTTTTTCCATGTCCCCACACAGCCTGCTCATCAGCCACAGGTTCTCTCAACTGCCACCTTCCCCCAGCATCTGCTGCTCTGGGAGAGAATTTATATTCCATGGACTTCAACTCACCCACCTTCAGCCAACATGGTTGACCTTGGTACCCAGGTCAGCCATCAGCTCGTGGTTCAAGCACTTCCTACTCACTCCACACTGAGACCCAATTCCCTGCAAATGGGATGCCACTGAATGGGCTTAACAGAAGACTGACTGTGCATTTGGGGCAAAAATGCCTTGACGCTGGTGACATTTAGACTCCTGCAGATGTCAGTACAGCATCTGAAGACATATTATTGTGCTCTTTATCCTGCTCTTTAAACCTGACAGTGCTCAGTAGGAAGCCACGTAATTGTGCAGAAAGCCCGGTACGCACATTAGAAACATGTTACAGATGCTCTGTGGGCTCAGGGACATGGCCCCACAAGATTGTGATGGGGAAAAAAAAAGTTTTAAACAATTCTAAAAGTCAACTTAGAAGCTAGGAACTTTGAAATGGAGTGGAAAAATCATCCTGACATTTATCATACACAGTTATAAATGCAGTGGCCTTGCTAATGGCTAGCACTGAGAAACAGCAGCAGAGGGTAACTAAGGCTATAATACTTTTAGAATAACACAAAAATGTTAAATGGGCTATACAATATAGTTGAGAGGTTTCAGTTTGTTAAAATAAATAATTTCCTTTGAGCATTATGCCTGTCTTCTGGTTACTGTTTTGGGAGCTTCGAGACAATTATCTACCATCCTAATCTCAGTGCCAGTCAACTGACGATACAATTGCAAATGTTTCGCTTGCTCCCTGGAACTTTTGGAAGATTTAGTGGAATCACTTACTGATAAACTCTGATAATATGTTAATAGAAAATATGTTTGGAAGACAGAAAGGGAGAATTAAAAACCCTTTGGGTCCACAGGCTTTTTTGAATTGAATGCATATATTTCAATATAGTTAAATTTTTAACCATCTATAAGTAAAGTCATAAATTAATTAATTCTAAGACTGGAGGTCTGGGAAAAACCACCTTTAGTTTTAAGGAGAGTTCAGAAGCTACTATCCAGTTGCATGACAGGTAACCCTCGTGAGCAGCCTCTGGGGCCCACAGTTGGCTTCTCACAAGGCAGCCTGCTCTTCCAGGATCACAACACCTTGCTTAAGCTAGAAACCTGGGAGTGAGCTGTCTCTGAAGCCTGACTCCTAAAATCCAATCCATTAAATGAGACTAGTTGGCTCTGCCTCCTAATAGAGTTCTAATCTGTGCACCTCTATCCACCTCTTCTCTATGTTTATTCATAGTCCTGCTTATCATTTGTCATGGGCTGAACTGTGCCTCCTCCAAATTAATCTTTTGATATATGACCCTAAACCTCAGTACCTCAAATGTTCCTATATTTAGCAGCAGGGCCTTTAAAGAGGGGATTAAGTTAAAATAAGGCCTTTAGGGAAGGCCCTAATCCAATCCAATCTGACCAGTATTTTCAAAAGAGGAGGACACTTGAATGCACAGAGATATACCAAGGGACTATGAGTACAGAGGAATGACCATGTGAGGCCACAGCAAGAAGCCAGCCACCTGTGAGCAAAGAGGCCTCAGGAGAAACCATCACTGCCAACACCTTGATCTTGGACTGCCAGCCTTCAGAACTGTGAGAAAATTAAATACATTTAAGTTGCTTAAGCCACCAAGTCTGCAGCATTTGTTAGGAAAGCTTTAGCAAACTAGTGCACTGTCTGTGCATATAATTATATTATATAATTATAATTTTATATACATGTAAATTATAATAGATTAATAATTATATAATTAATCTATTATAATTTATATATAATTATGTAATATAATTTGCATTTATATAATGTATATTTCTATTCTATTTATATATTTATACAATAATTATATATAATTATATAATTATATATAATTATTGTATAAATATATAAATAGAATATATATTTATATATTTTTATATAATTTATAATTTATAATATATATTTATATATATTTTATATAATTATAATAATATAATCATACAATTATTTGTTTTGTTTTTAGTCTCCTTCACTTCAATAGAAGTCCATGAAGATAGAGTGTCAATTTGTCTTTCTCACTCCCACAAACCCAGAATGGCGCCTGTCATGGAACCCATGTTCAGCAAATACTTGTTAGATGATGAATGGATGTCTCTCAGCCACCCTGATGCTGACCACGACCACCTCTTGCATGGCTCCAGAACTTTCTTCCTCCTAGGTCTCCCAACATCTTCTCTATGGTTCTTCAACACAGAGCAGCCCACGTGACCCTTCTCCAGCATCACTCCCTGCACAGAGCCTCCCTGCACTTAGACAAACATTTAAACTACTCACGATGATGACCAAGGCTCAGACTTCTCTGGCCCACATTTGCCCGGCCACTTTCTCCTGTGCTCCTTTTGCTCAGGACATGCTGGCAGAATCAGGACGACTCCCCGTGTAACCTCTGAAACCGCTGTCTCCTCTGTCTGAAGCATCCCTTCCCCAAATCACTATACGGTAAATTCCTTCCTGTGATTTGAGTATAAGCTCAGATCACATTTTCAAAGATATCTCCCTTGACCACTATATCCAAGAAGCCCACCCATATCCCAGAAATCCACACTTCGGATATCCACAGGACTTTTCACCATCTGAAATTTTTGGTTAATTAATATTAGTTACTGATGTAGTGCCTTTCTTTCCATTGGCCCTCCCGCTAACCAAACACCATGATTCAAGGACCTAACCTTTTTTAGTCACTGAAGTATCACTGTGCCTAAGAAAGTTCTTAGCACACAGGTGATGTACAATAATTTACTTGCTGAAAAAATGAATGAATAAAATCTGGGCAAGGTAGGGATTAAGCACTGGTCCTTAGGAAAGGGACTTTTTTAGGCCCTACTCAACTCCACATGATTAGTGAGCTGTGGATATACCTCAGGTATTATGTATACTGCCAATATTTGTCCATATAGTTAAATGAAATTTTTTTCCAATTCCAGCCTCTCCTATGGGGTCTTCACATTGTGGTTTCTGGGAAGTTTATGCTTAAGTTGTTCCAACACTGAGATTGAGCCCAACAAAAGCATATTATGCAGGAAATAAAGCCAGGATCATGTCTTCCTGAGTTACAGCCCATGGTCCATTTGCTGGGTAACTGGCTATCAGCAATTTCATAACCATTCAATCCACACCCCCTCTGCAGGAGGATGATGAGGTTGTCAGGAGAATCCTAACTTCAGGAACCACCCCAATGAAAGGAGAATTTCAAGAGGATTCACGAGACTTTGGGAAAGCTATTCTAGTACGCTCCAGAGAACCCACACCTGTGGAGATTTATCCAAGAAAAAGACACATTTGCTTGTGATAGCAAACCATGGTCTGTGCTTGGAGGTAAGGCAGAGCTTTTACCACTCTGGGTTTGAAGGTAGTTGAGGCTAGGGTAAGAGACAGGTGTCAAGGTTGGGCATCAGGATGGAGGTGAAAATTCTCATTAGAGCACAAATTTCTGGGACCCAGGTAAAGAGACCCATGCTATTTTTCCTGGGGAAAATCCAGCTGTCGCCCACTAGAAAGACAAAAGTCCAAACATCCAGCACAAGGTAAGAAGCATAAACACAGGTAGATGTGGCAGAGGCAAGCACACTCTGAGTGGACAGGATGTAGGCAGGGCTTGAGGAAGACAGAAGGGATGTTTCAGAGAGATTGCCTCAAAACTGGAGGCAGTGCAAGGTTGAGTGCATGCTGTTAAATGGACCACAGGTAGCATAGACATCCCCCAACACAGCTGCCCAGTCTTAGGCCAAAGATCATTCTCCAGTGGAACAGCTGATGCTGACTCCCATGAGTACAGGGAGGGGAATATTTCATCCTAGTGAAGGAGATTTATGTGCATATCTACTACATAAACCCTGTATAGCTGGGTATGGAGGAGTGGCATGCCTTTGAGGACTCTTGATGCTGTACCATAAGTACTAACCAATATGAGAAATCTTTCTCTGTGCCTACATGGAGCTGATGAGTGTATTTAAAATTATTTCAAAAGAATGAATCACTTTGGGGTACTTTTCCCTGCAAGTGAACAGTGTGCTAATTTGCTCAGTGTCTTGGTGGTGTTCTTTTTAAAAAGAAAAAGACAATTGCACAAGATTCTATAGCTGGGAGGATTTCTGGGATCTGATTCACATGAAGTCTGGGTCAACAGAAACATTTCCCAGGCATGCCTGAATGACAGGCCAATCTGAGAAGTTCTAAAAGACTCATGAAGTAACCCAGAGGATGGGAACTTTCAGCCAGTGCAATGGAGAGCCCAGTAGCGTCTCAGCATTCCTGAGACACCAGTTGCTGCTTGGAGAAGAGAGTCTCTCTTGCAAAGGACTCAAACACAGTTTCTCAAAATAATGTGTGGAACTTGTAATGTGTTGCAAATTCCTCCAGAGAAGGTGCTCTAAGACAGTGAGTCAGACAATGGCATTCCAGGTGGAGGGAAGTTATGTTTGAGGGTCTGACAAATTCATTGCAGCAGAAGTGGAGAGTCATTTCAATTAAAGGGTTAGGGTTAGGGTGAAATGAGAATAGTCCCTAATGGGAGGACTGAAAAGCACATAAGGAGAGGAGGACCCATGATACCTCTTGAGGCAGCAGCAAACTGCACCATAGCCCAAAGCATGACTCATGGCCATATGGGAGGAGTGGAGGGAGCCCACAGCGCATTACCTAGAACTGGATGGCTGCTGAGAAACTACTGGGAATCGCCAATCTGCAGAACACTGACAAACTTGTGGGACTGGCATCAGCTACGCCGCCCAGGGGATGCCATAATCTCCATGCAAATCAGTTTGATTTCAGTCTCCCCAACCATATGTCACTGGGTATGATGTCATCTCAACTACCTGGACTTATGGCCTCTGAGATTTAGCAAAGCCAGAAACCACATCTCCCTGCTGAAACACATTCAAATATCTGAGACTAAATACGGCAAAGAAGTGGATGGGTATGGAGGAGTGGCACGCCTTTGAGGACTCTTGATGCTCTCTCTATGCCTACATGGAGCTGATGAGTGTATTTAAAATTATTTTGAAAGAATTAATCACTTTGGGGTACTTTTCCCTGTGAGTGAACAGTGTGCTAATTTGCTCAGTGTTTTGGTTGTGTTTTTTTTTTTTTTTAAAGACAATTGCACAAGATTCTAACCAAAGCCCTCTAATTCTTCCACTTCAGTGGTCTGAATCCCACTAATAAACAATCAGGACTTTAGACTCCCTTAATAATGGAGAGAGATTCAAACGAAGATGTTTTGCCACTCTCTGCAAATTCCTGGAGGTGCTGCCTGTTGAACAGGCCGGCAAAATTATGGATTTATTCAGGACTGATTGCATTGAGTATGTAAGCATTTCTGAAGGATTAAAAGAGAGAGAGAGAGAGAGAGATGTTTGTGAGCTGAATGAATGGAGGGGATTGCAGGCTTACACTGCCTAGTCTGGCGTGGATCAAAGCTGTACTGGGAGGAAGGGACAGACTTACTGCACGGATGAGCAAGGACCCGGACCTCGTCCACGGCGATGTAGCCAGGATGACCCTTCAAAGAGACGGATTCAAATATCACCTGCAACACACAGGGCGGGAGTCAATTTCACAGAAACGGTTGTAGACATTCATCATAGGAAGCGGCCCGGCCCCCAGCCCTTTATGTTTCAACTTCCCATCAGAAGCAACCACAGAGACCTTCTATTAAGACGGCATGCTACCCTGGCACCTGACTGGGATTTCTAACACAAGGTAAAAAGGCCACACTTTGGTGGCTAGCAAAAGAAGAGTCAGTCGCACGGAATATTTTTAACGGATTTCAGAAATAACACTTAGATGCAAGAAAAATGACCCAAACACTGAGGTCTTGGAGACTCCAATCTGTGCATCTTTCTCATTGCGGCTTTAAGGGTCAAGCCACAACTTGACCATTCTTCTACAGAGAACTACTTTCTAATATCCCAACTTTTAAAATAAAGGGTAAGAGAGATGCTTACCTTGGAAGTTACCATAAGCCAAAGAAGGTTTACCATGAGTTGATTCTACATTCACAAGGAACATATTACATTTGGATTTATAATAACACTCTTAAAAGTAAGTGGCAATGAGTTGTCTGAATTCTCCACTCTGACTTCCACCTAAACTGCTATTTCCATAAAAATTTTGTAATGCATTTACCTTCCCTCATCACTCAACCTCTATCTTCACCAAGGAGACATGAATGTTTGTGTGGATAACACAGCCAACATGCTTGACCTCTCTAGTTCCAATAGCCTTTTCCAATCCACTTCAGCCCCACCTCATTCTTCACCTTCTGGAAATTGGAAATTCCATTTTCCCATATTCCAGCACAATCTCTACCCACAGCCTTCTCCCAACTGACTCCTCTTGACCTGCTCCTCAGGCTCACGTGGTACCCTAGACCCCTGCTTTTCTTATCTAATCGCTGACTTATTAATGTGGGAGGTCCAGGCTACCAAGTGAGCTCTTCAGATTCCACACGAGTCTCTCCTAAAGCCCCCATTCCTTCGCACCTTTATTTCAGCTTTGCCAAGCCTATAACACATCTGCCTGTACCTCATACAACTGCCGCCCTTTCAATATGCACCCATGTCATCCCAGCAGACACCCACATCTTCAAGAGGCAAGAGGCAGAGAGAGGGGCTGACTTCTAACTTTTTACCCGCTGACCTGATATCTATCCACACCATCCCCTGCCTCTTCTTTACCAGGAACACCACTGCTCTTGACCATGACTCTGGCTATATTTTCCAGCTTTTTGATTCTTTTTGGTTTTCTCTGTCTATCCTGTATCTCCAAATCCTTCCTTTTATCCCTAATGTTGACACACATCAACAGCTTCTCCTATGCTTTAAAAACTACCTTTTAGCAGCAGGTTTTCTCTGATACCGTCTAGTTGTGTTTCAGTAACACTTAAAATTTTCAGTAGTTTTGTCTTCATTCACTCCCAACACTTCCTGACTTTCCACTGCAAAACTTCAACCTACTATAATCTAGATTCTGTCTTCCATACCCCCCCCACAAAACTGCTTACACAGAAGACACTAATAATCTTCTAATTGCCAAATCCAGTAGATATTCTCAATCTTTTTCTTACTTGAAGAAGGAAGATAGTGCAGTGCTTGAACTATGGATCCAAGTGCCTAGGTTCAAGCCCTGGCTGAGTCACTTACTAGTTAATGGTCTTGAGAAAGTTACATTACTCTTCTGTGCCTCATTTTCTGCATCTGTAATTACACTGTCTACCTCATTAGGTGATTTTTTTTTATTAAGGGAGTTAATACCCTACTTAGAACAAAGTATGGCACATAGTACATTCTCAGGAAATATTTACCATGATTATTGTCACAACTTGATCATTCTTCCACAATTGTCGGTGTTCACAGAATCTTCATTTCTGGGTCTTTTTTTCTATTTAGGTTCAGATGACACTTTATTCTTGTGATTTTTCTCATAAATCTGGCGGTGTTCTACCATAGGTCTGTATGCATTCCCCCTCCTCCATCCTACTTTCTAACGTAAGGGCCCCTTACTCATCTTTTCACTGCTTACACTCTCCCTTCAACAGCTGCCAATGCACTGATAACTCCCGAGCCCAGCTCTGCACCCGAGACCTTTCACCCACACATCTGTCTTACATATCCAGTTCACAGATCTGTGTTTCTACCGAAGTGCCACATCAATGATATGAATGTAGCAGATCTGCACAGCTTCCTCCTCAAACCTTTTCCCTCACTGACCAATGGGCTATTCTTCCTGAAATATGGAATATGGTCAGTGGCACTATGACCCATTCAGTCACCCAAGCTGGAGACCTTGGTATCTGGTGGGCCTCTCCCCCCTCAACCCGCATCTTCATTTTCCTTTTTATTCTACCTTTTAGCAATTCTCAAATCTTCCCATGTCATCCGTCTCTGCTATTAGGATGAACCACTGGAAGCAGGCATTTTTTGAAGGTCAAAAACAGCTGGACATCAGAACCACTGCTCTGATTCAAACTGTCATCAGTTTTCATCTCCAACACCTGACAGCCTCCAAGAAGGACCCTCTCTCTCCTGACTTTTACTCCCCAGTTCAAGTCTAGGAATAGAATATTCATAGGTAAGTGATGAGACCAACAGGAAAACCTCCCTATGACATCTTTTTGTGGTCTATGTGGTCACTCCAGGTCAGTGGATTCAAAGATTAGTGTTCTCATTGGGACTTGAAGCTCCAACAGCTGTAACAAATGAACTGCGGAGAACCAATGGGAACCACTGAAGATCATGGTGATGGCTGAGAAGAGGCAGCTTCCTTTGGTGGTAGGATCTGTTGTGAAACAGCATGTGGCTGCCTGGGAGTTAGGTGAAGACCTTGGGGATGACAGTCACACTAAACATAGAGCTGGTGCTCCAGCATGATGGCCACTCTGGAAGAAGAGTTTACTAAGAGAGAAGAGTCCTTCAGAGAGACTCCACAAACAAAGTTATTCAAGAGGTAGGGGAAAGTTTGCAAAACTAATGTGCTAGCCACCTCATCCTGCAGAGGGGAAAGTAAACAGAAGCCCTTCCTGTAAATAATCATGTGTCTAATTCTATTTTTTAATAATTCAAAGGAAACCAAAAGCAAAGTTCGTAGAAAAAAGATAAAAGCAAATAGAACATACACAGTAAATGCATTTAAAAAGAAATAGCACAAAAGTATTCAAACTGTGTAATAAAAATGACAAAAGTAAGAAAAAATGTTTCTGTTGTGACAGTAAATATAAATGGATTAAAACAGAGAAAAGCTCTCAGACTGTCTAAATAAACAAAGTCTAATTGTATGCTGTAAGATAAACACCTAAAACAGAATGACTCAATAACATTAAAAAGCACAAGCCAAACAGTGACATAATAAAGAAATGCAAATAAACAGAAAGCAGTTGTCACAAAAATAATGCAAAAGCATCAAAATAGAATTTCAACCAAAAAGAAAAATGAAAAAATCAGGTGGACTAAAATGGTCATTCAGAAAAAAATACATGAGTCTAGAGACTTAAGTGGAGAAAATGATGAAAAGGACATGGGTTGAAGACTTTAACCTATGTCTTTGATTTTGACTAATCATATAGAAAAAAAGAAGTACATATAATGTAAATAATAATGTATTTACTAGATACATATTAATAAATATGAAGACAGAATAAAACTTCTATTAAAATGCTATAGCTCAGTAGCAAAAAAAATCATATACTAGGCCAAAATATAACTTCAATAAATCCCTTGAAGAAGAAATTCTTTAGCTTTGGGTCTACACATTTTCTAACCAAATTCACTAAAACTAGAAATTAGAGACAAAGTCTTAAAAATCAATGTCTTTAAAGTTACACAATGCTACTGCATGTTCTCACTCATAGGTGGGTGTTGAACAATGAGAACACATGGACACAGGGAGGGGAGCATCACATTGTGGGGTCTGTGGGGGGGGACTAGAGGAGGGACAGCGGGGCTGGGGAGTTGGGGAGGGATAACATGGGGAGAAATGCCAGATATAGGTGATGGGGAGGAAGACAGCAAACCACATTGCCATGTATGCACCTATGCAACAATCCTCCATGTTCTTCATGTGTACCCCAAAACCTAAAACACAATAGAATATATATTTTTAAAAAGTTACACAGTGCTTTCTTCATAACTAAAGTGTCAAAGTATGTTTTGCATGTTAACAAAAATCTGAAACAAAATTAAAAGTCAAATAGGCTGACAATAATATTTGTAATAGCTGTGTCAGCTAACAGAAAAATATCCATTTTTGTGTGTAAAAGACTCTTGAGAATCACCAAAAAAATAATCATTCAAATTAAAAAGTGGCAAATGACTTCAGCAGGTAATTCACAAAAAAGATGAAGGACAAATGGTAATAATCCATGAATGTAACTGTGCAAAATGACACTGACAATGATCAGAAGGTGCCCCAGAAGATGCCTACAAGCTTGGCTGGAGATGGGATCACGCCATCAACATGCTTCTGGTGTGGGATTCCTAGCCACAGGAAGCACCACCACATAGATCGCCAGCTCCATTTCCTAGGGACACATACCACAAGGGGACGAGGTGATGCCAGGATCCTCGGAGATGGAAAGACCTGCTCAGATGTCCTGAGGAGAGGGAGAATGGTTATCTTTGAACCAAGCACACTCTCAAGAAAATTCAACCAAGGTCCTTGAGGAATGAAAGTCAGAAGTGGGAGAGCCAGAGGCGTCTAAAGGCGACTGTGGTGCAGGGTTTTCCTCCTGTCTTCAGGAGACAAGGGAATAGGGATGGGATGGGGAACTCACACAGGGCATATACATCCAGTGGCATTCCACGTCAGTACATGGAGGCCAAGACACTCAGTACAGGGCCTGGAGCAGAGGGCTCACGGTAAGAATTCCAACTTCTCTGTAGATGCTCTTCAGCTCCAAGGCTGCCATGTTGGACCTACTATCTACTGCACATGATCCAGCCCCATGGGCCTCATTTAGAGACCTCCTGGCGCAGGTGTTGAAGACATGGAGCTCGCATGGAAAGGCGAAAACCTCTCCCTGTGCCTGGGGAA